ATAGACATGTACAAGATTGACCAGTGAATGCAATGAGAGGGTATATACACCACCATCGAAAGACCTTTTTACTCGCTCAAGCCGTTCAAGGGCAGAAGGTGACGGTGTAGTCGGCCGCGTTGGAGCCGGGGCAGGTCCAGAGCGCGGTGCCGGAGGACTCGTCGTACGCGTAGACGTACGAGTCGGGGCAGGACGACTTGAAGTAGTCGTAGTCCGGAACACCGGTGTTGGGGCACTTGTCGGGCGTCGAGTAGTCGCCCGAGCAGCACGCGGGGGAGTTGCTCGGGTTCGAGTCGGCTAAGCAGTCGGACTTGCAGCCGACGATGGAGCCTCCGGCATCCTTAACCTGGAGGTTGGACGGGCCTGTGTGTATGATCAACGTCTGTGGATGGTAAGCATAAGATGAAAGCGCGTACAGTTGGGGTTCAAGTCGACCGGGCAGCTGGCGGTAGGGCAGCCGGCGGTGACAGTGACCTCAACGGGAATGTTGAAGCCATCAACGAGGGAGACATCGTAGTTGCTAGAAGCATATCAGCACGATGATCAAGAGCAGCTCACAGATTGAAACTCACTCATCACCGCTGGGCACGAGCGTAAACTCAGCGACGGTAGCAGGCGGCACGCCCGTTCCGGATGCAGTGTCGCACTCGAGGCCACCGTTGCAGCCACCGGTCGCGCAGCTCGTCGGGCCCGGGTTCGTCGAGAAGTCGCACTCAGTACGCGGCCAGATGCGGCCGGCGGTCCAGTTGTCGGGGACGCTGAAGGAAGTGGTCGCGCCAGCGGCCATCTCCCAACCAGTTGCCTGCGAGGGAACGGCAGTGCCGGCGTTCAGGTCCGTGAAGAGACCGGGCCTGTGGAAGGATCAGCAGCTGCGCCGGTGCCACGGAGAGACTGTGGAACATACCAGACAGTGTAAGAGCACTTGTTGTTGACGGTGAAGGTACGGTCAGCAGAGACCGCGGTGGCCAGAGCGACAAAGGAGGCGAGGGATGCGATGGTCTTCATGATGAATGGATTGAAGTGAAGAAGGGTGAGAGAAGACGTAGAACGGTAGAAGATAGACCTCGAGAGGATGAGGAACAGCAGACTACGTAGCTGTCCTTATATACCGAAGAGGCTTAGATGCCAACATCAAGTCGGCTAGGCTACGAACCTGGATGCTACTGCACAGCGAACGCCAACTCTGTCAACCTGATCTTGGGTCCACATGGGCCACCCGACGCACGCCCGGTACAGCCGCATGCTCGCCAAAGCCGATAGAGACCACGAGTCGCATGAGGCCGATGCAGTAAACAACCCCATCATGTGCTCTGTGCTGGTCAAAACGCTCGGCCATGCACGTACGTCGATGGTGGTCTTGAGGTGACGTTGTACGGTCCGATGCTGGGCAGCCGCCGTTTGAATTGGCACGATGCGGCATCACCGCTTGCGGGAAGCCTCAGTCCGTGCCGTTCACAAAGAGCTGCGCTTTGTTGAATCACGGCGACCAGGTTTACTCGGAAACGCGATGCATAGACGTCTGATAGACTACGATGCGACGTCCTCAAAACATGTACTCGCACTGATGGTCGTGCTCTATCCCAGGAACATAGAATATGCCTCTGAGACACTGCGACAGGGTAAGGTTAGCCAGCATGCAGAGATCTCCTCGGCCGAGCTCATTCAACCCGTGAGCAACTGCGCGTACGTCTCACACAGCCCGCCTGGCAGCAGTAGGATCTGTTGACCAAGGACAGTACATGTGCTTCAGTATACCAATGACTTTTCCAGCTCCACAAGCATGCCGCGGTTTGAAAAGAGCAGGTAAGAACGCAGAGTTCATCAGGAAGATCTTGACGATGACAGGTTGCTGCGGCTGGTCAAAGACAACGAGCACGCTTGGGATCACGGAAGGTTGTCGTAGCCGACGGCAACGACCGTACCCGTCCTTGTGTTGTTGAGCACCGCGCGCAGTCAATGACGTGTATTGGGATCTGAAGGGTCTTGCTTGCACTGATAGATTCGAGCTCTTCCTCTTATACCCAACCTTTGAGGACAGCGCAATATGGCGCTATAGTTGCACTGTGTTGCACCCTGCTCCAAAGCCCACGGAATATCCTCTCCGGAGTCTGGCGATGCGCCGGACAGGGTACGTGAGGGGCGCTACGAACCTGACCCGATCAACTCGTGCGCGTCCTCACATCAACGGATGCAGACGTACTCGGACTTCGAGATGAGTCTTCGGTTTGTGGTCATCGAAGCATTGTCCGCCGGCGGCAAGTAGCCTATGTATAGAGGTCCGGTCGAGCAGCCCGTATAGCCCAAGAGACGCGGAGCGGTGGAAAACGATGAGTACTGTACACGACGTGCGCCGGAGGACGCGGAACATGCTGACTAAGACGTGAGAACTACACCCTGATATTCTAATCTGAAATTCTTTCTTTGCCTCTCCTTTCTCTTCCATATACTGACCTGTTCCACCAGCCACTGCTACCTCTTGATCATCAGAGAGGATAGTATAGAACAACATTGATGGCTTCGCATTATAATCCCAAATAAAAGTACAACATTTCCATACAACATGGTCTTCGTAAAAGTCATTACCAGCGTACACCCGAAAACAACACAGCACTGGTACAGATAATATGAATACAAAGCAACATCAGAAGCAGACGGACCAGCATGCATACCGACGGCTAGTCGGCTTCTACGCATGATCTGCAAAAGCCAGCGGCAGCACATGGACCACGGCAAGTGGTTCACGTAAACTCGACGGAGAACTCGCGCTGTTGTCCGCTAACAACGACGAGCGCAGCGAAGACGCCGAAGAAAAAGCTCGACAGCAAACAAGACACGGCCTCGATCTTCGAGGGCTCGCCGGGTCGACCGCGATTGTGTCGCAGAAGGCTGGGCACGGACATCGTTATAGGCGTTATAGGCGACGTCTGGACGGAGTGTGTCGACTTGTCTCCCGCGTGCTCGTCGTCGGAGTCGTCTATTTCGTCCGAAGAGGAAGCAGCGGAATTTGGCCGCGTGTGAACGTACACGTACTCCTCCGTGAGCAGCTGGAGTTCGCTGACAACACCCTCGAGTCGCTTGACCTCGTTGAGCGCGTTAACTCGCTGCGCATCCCGCACCTCCTCCCCAATGACATGGACCATCGCCTGGATGAGGTCCCAGATCTCCGGGTGTTCGCGCACCCACCATTGGCCCGGCCAACGCGCGATGAGGTATGCAAGCTCGGCGACGAGACGCACAGCGTCGTGGAACTCCTTCAGCGCATGCCGTTGCATCCATGGGCGCAGAAAGCCCATCGCTAGGTGCACAGCGCCTGCAGTCGTGTCACGAAGTCGTAGCTCGCTCGGCGAGCGCAGGAACTGGTCGGACATCTGCTGGCAAAATTGCTGGAAGTCGGCCCGAGGTGCCGAAAAGTCCCATGCCAGCGAATTGAAGTGCTTGTCATCGCTGGGCGACCCCGACGATACGAAATAAGATGGCAGCTTCGGGAGGACGGACATGATAGGGATTGAGGAGAAGACAGCCGATGCTGGAACATGTCCATAAATTAAGGCGTCCTGCGACTCGCTTGCGAGGCGATACCATTCCCAATGACTAGGATAGCGCCTACGGCTTGCATGAGTTTCTCAATCTGTAGTAACCTTAGAGGCACTCACTCCTTATTGGTACCCGTACGCAAAATCTCTATTGTCGTGACAGAGCGCTTCACAAGCGCACGCGCGTCGATCACCGCGATCTCCAGCTCTACATGCGGATTCCGATTGTGTCGCCGGGTTGCCTCCCAGATGGCCCACGCGAAGCTGAATGACGCCGAGACGTAGGGTGACGATTGCTTGTGTCGCGGGTCCATGTGCTGAACGACATCGGCATATGTCGCTATCGGACCATCTTTCGGGGGATCCAAGTCATCGAGGGAACAATCTGGGCTGTTCTTGAATCGAGGGGCGATAAAGAACGGCTCGGTACTGTCGAAGTACGGCGATAGAGGCTTGGGAGCATAGACACGGAATAGAAACTGGTTCTGCAGGACTAGTGATGTGAAGTCGAGATCAGACGCGAAGCCGTATTGCGGCAAAGCACTGAAGCCAGGCGTTTGTGGGCCGGCCACGGGAGCCACGGGAAGCTCGAGCGAGCTCGCTGGTGTGAGGGACATAACGGAGGGACGGAGGGAAGAAGGTCGAAGCAGGGACGATCTACAGCACGCTTTTCAGTCTATGCACGCCCTTTGCCTCACGCAGGGATGGTCCGCCGTGCAGCACGACTTCAGGCAGGCCGGTCGGACACAGTCGATGCCTGCAATCCCAACACGTGCAGAAAATGAGGCATTCGAACGTCTATTTCGAAGACTTTTGCGGTGCAGTATCGATTCCCTTCGGTGATAGACTCGCAGATTACATTCTTCGAGTGTATACGGAGTAAGTTCTGGTCATCAGGGCGTCAAAGAGGCTCGAGTGTGTGAGGCTGCTCGAGGTCGTGGAACAAGCTTTTGTCCGCGACGCGTGCCGCCGCGAGGGCAGCAAGTCGCGTCTTGTCGCACGCCATTCAAATTCCGCCAGCGTGCATCCCAGTACCTCTTCCCAGCTCTGCTCTCTTATTCACTCACTCGTCATTCATCCAATGCCTCGGTTGTACTTGGCGCTTGGCGCAGAACGCTACGGCAGGGTGAAGGAACCCTGCACATCTCTGGTCGTCCCCCGGCTATCGTCTAGCGGAGTGCAGTAAAGCGCCGCAGCAACCTGCCACAACGTTGGTGTCGATGGCCAAGCCGACGCTCTTGCTACGGACGCTCGACATGACAACACCGCGAGCATCGCAAGTCCAATGCAACTTCTGGTCTCGGCGAGCAGCCGAGTTTCACCAATTGCGGTGCACAGATGCCAATCAGACAGCTAGCTCGTTGTCTGGATCCCGAACACGCCGCTCCTGCTTGCTTATATTGCGCAGCAACACTATCTCTTGACCTCCAGTGCTGTAACGCCACATACATCTGCGATATCTCCGTCTAACCGGCAGTCAGCTTTCGGCGGTCACGACCTTTTGCTTCATAAACCCATGCCGGCTAACTTACGATGCTGCGCGTCTATCTTGTATGCTTGGCTGAGCATCTTTGAAGAGTCCAAACACGTCCGTTCAGGGTACAGTGAGCCTGTACTGTCTCAAGAGAGCCGACTTGGACGCAGAATCCCACATCGCAAGGTGGGATCACGAACTGTTTACGGCCGCTGGTCCGCTCCGGTCCCATCTGTTTCCCGCCCATCTCACCGAGAACAAAGGCTCCACGCTGTGTCGCTTAGATATAAGCGAGCCAAGCCCGCAGCGCTCACAACGAGCGGTGAAAGAGATGTTCTGCGTCTTGGCAGGCTTTGTTCTGGCAACTAGACGCTGAAGAAGCCGCTTCTTACAGCTCGGCGCACGGCTTCGTGGGGTTATAGATCAACATATCTGTGCCGTTGCATCAATCCCGGCGGTGTCATTCTCTCGTACTTGGAAATGTCGTGAAGGCTACCGCTTAGCGCTGGGTTCTTATGGCCACGGGACCAGCGTTCGAGTCTGGATCAGACCTCCAGACTTCCCCTCTCGACTGGCGCTACGCCCTCACCACCAGACCTATATAACGTCGCTGGTCGACTTTCACATTCCTTCGCTTGCCTGCACGCGCCGAGATCTCACCCTGCCGCCATCTCTCCTGCCTGCCCGCACCAGCCCGCCGTAGCTCACCATGCATCGCGCCGCTCAACACATCCGCCGCCAGTCGCTGTCCACGACCGTGGCCAGGGAGAGCAGCACCCTCATGTCGGCTAGTGCGACCGAAGTCACCGCGCACGATGCCTTCGATCTGCCTTACCACACCGATCCATCGTCGCCGCTGGTCGGCTTCTCGCACACGAGGCGCCTGACGTCGATGTCGAAGGCGGCCTCGCCACCGCCTCCGATGCCCGCGGCGTTACTCTTCGACGGGCCGGCCCTGACGAAGCAGGGCAGGGCACCGTCCCGTCCTCACGCCACATCGCTCGGTCCCGTACTCAAGTTTGACGGACCGTCGCGTTCGCGGCACGCCGGCGCTGAGCGTGTGATTGTCGAGGTGAGTAGTGCTCTGACATGCCCCTCTCTTCCGGCATTGAACTCGATGCTCATGATATCCCATCTAGCCCACGCCTCCCCGCATGGCACCGTCCCAGACGCTCCTTCCGGACTGGTGCAAGGCGAAGCTCGCCCAGCTCGAGGGCGCTCTCGAGTCGACGATCACTGCGCCAGAGCTGGCCTCGGCAGTCTAAACGCGCTCATTCGCCCTTCTTGTATATCCCGGTAACCTTCGTACCCTTCGGGGCCGCATCTATACAAAAGCGGTCCTGAAGGGGTTCGGATGTACCCTTCTCTGGTCCCGTCGCGGGTGTTCGTCGGACTGTTCGCCCTTCGTTTGATCGCTTCTTGTGCATGTTGTATAATACTATAGAGTTCAAGGGTCGTGTAAGATTAGCATTGGATTCGGAGTCAGTAGAGTCTTGTATCATGCATAATGGAATACCTTGTACAACAGTCATAATCACCTGCCTAGTGCGCTGATAGTGAGCAACATTGTGAGCAAGCCGTCTGTGTCCTTGCCTCTGAAAGTCTCCTGCGAAAGCGTTCAGCATACCCATCGAGTTACCCCACACGCCTCTCAGCCTCCCGGATAGGGGTGCGAGTATCCCCACACGTATGGGTGGCGCGCTGCGGGCTGTTGAAGTTGATCTCGAGAACGGTTAGCGACCTGCTGACTGTTGTGCAATCAAGGCAAGCAGGGTCGTTGTATCCCGCTCGATTCTTCGCGCCACTTGGTCTATACGCCTATCCCCTGCACGTCACCCTACATCGATGCTGGCCTACTCCTTCTGGGTACGTGCCGGTGCGCCGAGAGCATCGCTCACACCGATGCACACCCAATCTCTGCGGACCGCTCTGCGCGCAACACCGTAGACCGCGGATCGACTTCTTTAAGCGTCGTGTACTCATCACCTGCTGATACCGATGATCCAACTGGATGCGCTTACTGTAAGAATAGCACTCGTACCATAGTTCTCTACAGCATCGGGACTTCCTCACGAACGTCTTTGTCATACCCCTTCACAACAGAAGTTCAGATACGAGCGAATGCAGACACGAACGCATGAGATAGCCAAATGTCAGAGTATACATCCTGATCTACTCGTCAACGAGTCGCTCTCACAAACCGCAGAGTCAATGTCAACCAAAATCAGAACTAGAACTGGGGGCGGGGTAACGTGGGATGTTCGGACAGGTGGTATGTAGGACTTCAGACAAGCATAAAGCAAGCATCAGTCGTATTATTAACAAGTTATAGTCCGTAAAATGTCAGTCCACGAGCACCAAGCCAGGGTAAGTTCGTAACGCGCGACTGGCGGTGTACAAAATATGCATGGAGGTCAGTAGCTTTATAGTACGAGAGCGGCAGCAAACGCGAAGACGGTGGTGAGAGCGGCGGTCCATGAGCCGACCGCGAGCGGGACGGCAGCACTACTGTCGTTCGAGCTGCCGCCCGAGGTCGACGAGTTGCTGCTGCTGCTGCCACCGCTTCCGGTGCTCTGGGAAGAAGAGTTTGACGTTGATGCGTTGGAGGGGTTGGCGGTGAGGTGCCCGCTAACGTCTACAGATGACATGTCAGTTCATGGCAGTGACGAAAGAGGAAGGAGATCGGCGTACATTGCTCGAAAGTGGGGAGCGAGTAGTTGGTCTCAACGTAAGGTTGAGTCCGGTTGAGGCCGACACCGACGGGAACGATGTTCTTGAACGCAGCCTTGAGCTTGGGATACCATTCGATGGCCTTGGACATGGTGTAGTTGTTCAACTCGTGAGTGAGGATGATACCACCGGCCTCGTTGAAGTTACCAGCGGTCGCGTTGTTGACAAACTCCTGGTAGAAGTTGTCGACGTCAGCGTCGGTGATACCGTTGAGGCCATTCTGCCAGTCGTTCGAATCGTAGCCCCAGACGATGGTGGTGAGGTTAAGACCATGGGCGATGGCACGAATACGGTCGTCGACGTCACCGTACGGGGGACGCCAGCAGGTCGGAGTAACGCCGGTAACAAGCTTGATAGCTTGCATCGTGTAGTACAGCTCCGCAAACGCGTCCGAGCTCGTGAACGAAGTCATGTACGGGTGGGACCAGGTGTCTGCATCGCATGATCCGGTCAGCTTCTTTCATTATATAAGAAGCAAGGAAGCAGCACGACGTACGAACGCAAATCTCATGGCCGTCCGCAAGTGCACGCTGAGCCTCAAGAGGCCAGTCCAAGACGTTCGAGCCAATGTAGTACATCGTCGCCTTCTGGTTTTGCTGTTCCAAAAAGTCGTAAAAGGCGTTGTGCGAGCAGTTCGGGCCATCGTCGTATCCGATACCCATAGTCATGGGCTCGGGCATGAACCAGGTATCATTGGGCAATCCGGCGAGCTTGGGCGTCGTACACTTGTGGCCAGCCGTGCCAATCGTCCACCCTGCGAAAGCGAGCAGTCAGCCGTCAAAGATCACGTGTAGCGAGTTTGACAAAGCGCCCGCCGCGATCAAACGAACGGCGCGAAATGGCCGACGCGTTCCCTCATCCGCTGTGCGGGCGCTCCAAATTGCCTGATAGCGAACAAGATACTCACAGCAATCCGGATCGGTAGCGGCATCATACGTGACGCCCTGCGTCGAGCTGGTGCGGGTTCCCTTGGGCTGGATGTTCGTCGGGACGCTGGGCTCGATCTTGGCCCAGACGGCCTGTGCTTCCGTATCGCTGGGGAGGATAGAGGCGTTCTGCCAGATGGTAGGGAATTTGCCACCCTGAACGGCGGTGGCAGAGGGTGCGTAGTAATACGCCGTGCACTCTTGCGTGGCGTCTGAAAGCAAAGGGCGCAATAAGAACCCGTATTTGGGGAGAATAGGCGCAAGGAATACAAACCAGTGATTGCGGCCTCGCCTTGTTCGGTTGTCCTGTCCTGTGCAAGAGCGGGGACGGCAAGCGCGGCGAGGGCGCCTACGCTAAGAGCGCGTGATGGAGTAATGAGCGACGAGAGCATAGCTGAAAGCTCGAGTATTTGGATCCAGAGAATAAAGACCGGAATCCGACGCAGAAAGAGACGTTCTGCAGCTCGCGGCGAGATGAGTGCTCGAAGAAAAGGAGCGCAATCGCACGGTGCGGAGACAGAAGTTCAGGCGGTCGGGTGGGATTACCTCGTGCACGTTCCAGCGTCCGCCCATTAAAATGAGACCCGTGGCGTCTAAAATAAAATCGCACCCTCAGCGGCTAATGCGTGTAAAAATAGCGTTCGGCACGGCGTCGGCATGCTCTAGGGCCGCGACGCGCGACAGCGAACACATGAGATGATCAAGTTACGGTACTTGGGTAGCGCTCTTCGTCAAGAGGAGACCCTCCAGCGCCGCGCTGGCAGGCCTTCGTGGTGGTTGCTGGTCAAAAGCCGAAAGAATTGCGGCAATCACTCAACGACGCTGCTGCGCTTCGCGAACGTCGGCGAGTCTCTTGGCGCGTCGGTGACTGTCCGCGTCGGCACCAGTTCTGGTATTTTTCACGTTTATTCCCTCACCCAGGCTCACACTCGACCGGGTCGGCCAACGCGCTGGACCAGCATGCATACATTCTTCAAACCCTATCATACTAGCTATGTATAGAAATCGAACAGTGTTCGGCCGTTACGCGCCCCATTTGTTCCTCGCCGTTCCCAGCACGTCAAAGAATCATCATCTGGCGTTCGCTACGTGTTCTGTTCGTCTCGGGCGTACGCCGCACAGAGCAATTCAACTTCTCTCGCCGTCTCGTCGCCGTCAGCTGCTGGTCAAAGAGGCGACGGACATGCAAGGGAAGTGGTTTTACACCTCTCACACCGAGCAGAGTGGGGTCTGGCAGCTATCTATAAGTAGTAGTGTTTCATGCGTTTGGCGACGGACAGCGTGCACGGGCCGGTACAGAATTTCGAAGCGGATCAACCGCGCTCAAGATGAGCGGGATCTGCTGTTTTGGGTATACGTCGGGCTCGTATCGCCGTACAGGTACGCTGGCCGAGCAGACGATCTCCGCGAGAACTGGGGACAATCCAAAGGTAGGCTGAGCGGGTAGGTCGTCAAGCAACCATGTCATGATTCGTGCAGTGACGCGGTGCGCGCTGATTCTGAACAGCATGCATGAATGGCGAGGTGACTGCGCTATTCAAACACGCTGGGAAGACTGGGAAACTCAGGCTGTCGGAATGGAAGGAACAACGGAAAAGCAAGCTTGTCTTGACCTTGACAAAGAGGCACAACAAAGCGCCAGGCACGGTTATACTCTGATACAGCTGAATGCATTATACGCGTGTTTGCTATACGCATAACCATCATCAGATACAGCAACAGTCAAGCACCTGAGGTTGAGTCAAGATGCGAACGATACTAGATATTAGGGCGATCAGAGTACTGCAGCGACTGTAAACCCGGATTTACAAGTCTTCGGGTGCGGTTGGAGGAAATACCACTGGAAGAACAAAGACGAGAAGGCCTTTGAGATTATGATGGACACCAGCCGAGTACGGGCCTACTTGGGCGTGGTGGTCTGGAGGAAAGCCGCGCGACAGCGCGCGCCGGCGCTTCGCCACAGCACCGCATCATCCCGCCATGGAGTGCGAGCGCTGCTTCTGAATCTTAGTCCCAGCAATCATCTCACCCCTAGGGTGGCTTGCCCACCCAGCATCCCTAAAGCAGCACTCGTCCCCTAGCGACATCTTAACCTTCCTGCTATCATAATCGAGAGCATTGCGAGGGAATCTAAACGTCATCGAGCTCGATGTCCGCCGACGATCCCATGGGCCTATGCTGCTTGGTAGCCGTCACAGCCTGCGCAGACGTATGCACGGCTGCATGTATCGACTTTACTACCGTCCGTATGTATCTCATCCGTTCACGCTACCCTCCCAGACTTCTCATGCGCCGGGTCGTCTTTGCAGGTCAATCGTTCACCGCGTGCTTCATGCCCAAATGGTGTAGATGTTCACGTTCAGACCCGGAAGAAGAGGATTATGCAGATGACGAGGAACGTGCACGTGGGGAGCGAGAGCCGTTGTTGCGGCCAGACCTGGAAGAGGTGGCTTCTGCTGTTCAACCACGGCCGACTATGGCTATGGCTGTGGTTGCCGAGTGACTGGGTTGGAGAAGGGTGTCCAAACGCTCGCGTTCATATTTGATCAGATCAATCGGAATTTCCTCTGCTATTCTTGCTATCTTTCCGCGCTATCTATACTGTTGTTGTATTCCTGGATTCACCACACACACCTGTAATCTATACTTCATCTCGGACTCGACGTTGTCAACCCTTGCGCCTCGCGCGTCCAATCCAATGCAATCCCGGGTCTATCCATACATAGCCGCAGCACGACAAAGTTCATCGTTCAACGTTCAACTCGTAACGTCGCTCACGCAAGCCCAGCCGCCCTTCAAGCTCTCCTTCCAAAGCGTGACCTTCCCGTCACCGCAAGACACCGCAAGGACATTGCCCGCAAGACTCCACGATACGCGCCACACGACGTCCGGGAACTTGCCCGCGGCGCCACCAGCAGCACCGTCAAGTGCAGAGGGGTCGAGGGGCGTCTTGACCCACGGAGCGTTGGGCGTATCCTTCGTCCAAATGAATACTGTCTTGTCCTACACAGCATCAGCTTGATGTCGACAAGGTTGAGATGTCACCGCAAAGCATACCTGAGACGCAGTGGCGATGTAGCTACGCGGCAACCCGATATTCGGTGCCCACGCGACATCCCTGACCCAGTCCGTGTGGCCCTCCAGCACATCCTCCTCAACCCACGCCTGGTTCTCCTCATTGAACGCCCAGATTTTGACAACATTGTCGCACCCAGCACTAGCGAAGCGCTTGATGGGTGCCTGGCGTGCCGGGGGTTGGTTCGGCGCGGTGGCGGGTGCAGGCGAGATGAGTGCGCCCGGACGGGTGGCGGGTGCCCAGGACACGGCGTTGCAGCCGATGGCATGGGCTTCGAAGATGTCGGCGCCCCATTGTCCGTCGTTCTTGAAGGTCAAGACTGAGATCTTGCCGTCTGATGACGCACAGGCGAGAATGGCGCCGAGCTCATGGGGTGCCCACGATACCGAGTTAACTAAATTCATAATGAGTATGGAAGTAGATAGTCGTGTATGATGGACTCACCAGAGGCGGCATGGAGGGAGTGTTCCTTGATCTTGGCCCAGCCAGAGGTTCCCTGCTCCTTCCAGATGATGACCTTGCCATCGTAGGAACACGAAGCCAGGATATTGCCATACTTCGGGTGCGCCCAGGCAACTTGCCACACAGGTCCTGTATGCCTATAAGAATGAATAAGGGTAAGTGAGTGGGAGTAGCCATAGAGGCAAAGAGAGTTGCGCACCCCTTCAGCGTCTGCCCAGAACCGCGAGGTTCACTGTCCACAACATCAAACACGCGCACTGTCCGGTCAGAAGAGCAAGTGGCCAGCCGTTTTCCATAGTAATCCAGTTGCGCATCATGCTAAAAGCCAGATATTCAGATGCGCGTCCGCGCAAGAACCAGAAAGTATAGCCGCGTACGATCATATCCTCATGCGCGGTTTCGATTGGTACAGGGTCAGATGGCGCCTGAATAGCATGTTATAAAATCGAACGGTGCAAAGTAGTCAGTATGCCGTACCATGGTGAAGGCGAGATGGTGAGCGAAATACAGTTGCTGAACGCGCTCCAGTCGCGGGAGACGTTGTCGCGCGCGACACGTGTGCTCAACCTATTTCGCGGTCACATGCGTTGACGCGTTGAGATCTTGAAGTTCAGACACGTAGGCTGGCAGCGGCGGCAGTCGGGACTGCACTCCCAGAGAGCGCAGACATGCGCTTAATCATAGCCAGACCGCGAGTGCCTCAAAGGATATGATCAATCACATATTGATTATTTTTAGTCAAGTAGACATGGAGCAAAAACCAATTACAACAGCATCATTGACCCAGTTGGGACCACCAGAGTACACGTGTACGACTACAGAAAATAGGCAGAGTCCGAATATACACCTCGCGCATGTTTTGTTCACTGCCACGACGTGGTGAGGGTCTGCGAGCCAGATGCGGGCGTCGTATCAACGCGGTTGTTACCGCTCTCCCAGACGATCTATACAACGCGTCAGCACACTTGCAATCACGACTGGGCTAGCAATACTCACGCTTCCGTCCGTCTCCTTGCGGATGAACTTGTACTCGATGGCCGTGCTGGCGGGCAAGGTGACGGAGACAGTCCACACCGGGTAGCTCGCCGACGACAGCGCGATCTATCGAATCATTACTTCAGCGAGGCATACGAGATAAGCAAAGAGTCTACGTACAGCGTTAGCGGTGTTCCAGCTCTTGAGCTCAGCAATGCTCCCAACGAGGAAGATGTTCTAAGGATTGATGTTAGATTCGCGTCAAGACGGAAGGCACGGAGACTGTCGCTAACCTCTCCGAACGTCGTGGTCGCGGTCTCGGCGAAGTTGACCGTTACGGTGCCCGAGCCCGAGCCGCCACCCGAGCCACCACCGGTGCCCGAGCCAGTTCCGACGCCCTTCGATCCGGTATGCAGCGCCACCGCGTCGCGCGCAGCAACCGTGACAGTGAAAGTGCCCGAAGAGGAGACGTTGTACGAAGGACCAGAGCAGACATTAGTTGCACTCTGGTTCCCGTGGATGACATCGCAGTACGAGCCCGCAGGCAAGCTGGTCGTGAAGGTCGCGGTCCAAGCCGAGTCGGCGTTGTTGATCGCGACGAAGCCGAGTGCGCCGCGGCCGAAGGCGATCTGAGACGACTGAGGGGAGACCCAGTTGTTGAGAGCGGCCGAGCCGACGTTGTTGCGGAAGCCGACCATACCGGCGACAGGGAGCCAGCGGTGCTGGCAGTACCAGCCGTTCGTGCCGGTGTTGCCAGAGCACGTGCCGACGCCTGTACACGGGTGAGTGACACCCCGATGCTAGCGTAAGGTGAGCACGTACCGCCGTTAGGCGAACCCTGGTCAGTGTTGGTGAAGCCCTGGTAGCTTGAGAGGATGGTGGGAGTGCCGTAGGGGTGAGCGAGGGAGAATACCATGGCCAGCGTGTAGGTGTTCGAGGGCGAGAGGGCGTTGAGAGACTCGCCGCTGGTACGCTCCGAATCGTGGTTGGCGACGAAGACGTTCGCGCTTGCGCTGGGGACCCAGCCCTGGTTGTCGAGGTTCTGGAGGTTCGAGATGCCTCCGCCGCTGAAGGCAGAGAGGAGAGCGCTAGTGTAGCGGAACTCTTGGACATCGCCTGCAACGGTAAGAGATCAGACAACGGCAGGAACGGTAGGAGAACGTATTGCTTACCATTACCAGTGTACAAAGCCGGCGTAACGGGTTGGCCGGAGCCCCAGATGACCTCTTGAGTAACGTAGTAGTTCTGGGTGCTGAGCAAGTTGAGAATAGCACGAATGTTGGCGGGGTCGATGTCCTTTGCGGCATCGAGGCGGAAGCCCTTCACGCCCAAGCTCAAGAGATGGTTGGCATACCCGGCCAGAGTCTGCTGAACGTAGGTCGTATCCGTAGCAAGGCTAAACTCGTTGAGATATAGCCGCCTAAGAGAGGACTTGTACACTTACTCGGCGAGGCCACTGAGTTCGCAAGTCCAAACTTCTTGTTCATTGTCCCAGTTGACGATCTGGTCATTGGGCTCAAGTCCACAGTGGTGGAAGTCCTGTGAGCAATCGTGTCAGCGTCCACGTCCCAGGTCAACGGGGAGATTCTCACGTTGGTGCTGTAGAGGCCGGGATAGTTGTACTTCGTGAACGCTGGAAGCAGTCAGTACAACGTCATGGTTAGCCTACGTGGGCTGTACATACAACTACCCGCCGTGCCAGTGCCGGAATCCTGACCAGCCATGTGGTTGAAGAGCGTATCTGCACCGATGACTCATGAGAATGTGGTGCAAGATGAGGTCGATTGACGCACCGGCAATGATGCCTACTCCGGCCGTCGCACAGGTATCAATCATATTCTTGTACTGAGCCTCATTGCCACGCTTAGAGGTCAGAATGTAAGACACAGGCTGGTAGTCAGTCCACCACTGAGAGCCTATAGAAGCGTCAGCGTCTGGTCTACAGCCGCGTAGCCGCTCAGCGTACCTTGAACATGCTCTTGAGCCGGGCTGGCTGTACACGAGGGTCAGTATACACGACGACCGGGGTGACGGATGTCTGAACCTTGGACAAAGCCGTATCCTGCGGGGCCGAGGAAGTTCGTGCATTCTGCCGCGATACTGTCCCAAGTCCACTCAAACATCTGCGCGATGACCGCTGCATAACAATCAGCAAACGTTTTGGTAAGCCAGGGATATTGATTTACGCTTAGACCCACTCGGCGAACGAGGGGTCAGCGGCGACGCTGACACTCGCGAGAGCAACGCGGACGCCGCCAACACATAGAACCGAAGAAGCATGCTTGACGGATAGCCGAACGACACGCCTGGTCAAAACACCATGCAAGCCCTGCGCCTTTATACTTGGCGGAGAAAGCTCTGAGGTCGGCTCGGCTTCAGTGCGATCCGAGCAAAGCCTGGCTATTCGTAGGCTGGAATAAGCTCGTAGACCCGCGGACTGGCAACTCGGCCCAGTACATCCGCGTCAGATGATGTTTTGAGCATGCGGGACATAGCGCGAGGCGTGTATAAGAATGACGTTGCGCCCCGCGACACGGAGAAGTTCTGTGCTCGTGGGCGCTAGTAGCTAGGCCTAGGAACCCAAGTGGTAGGGCCGGATAAGGAAGTCAAGGACTGCGAATGCACCATCCCGAGCGCTGCTCGTTGGTCGAAAGTCACCAGAGCATCATCGGCCCTGTGTCCGCCCTGGCTGGTGAGAGTCCGACATCACCGCCGGAGAAGTGGACCAGAATACCAAGCGCTTCCGAGAGGAAAGGCTACCGGCAGGGCCAATGGCTACCAGGGCGAACAAGATCGCAACGCCAAATGGCGAGACCTGCGAAAGGGAAGCAACGTTAGCATGTGCTTATCCAATATCTCCATTACCACACAGAGAATAAAATGCCGGGACAGTACCATCGTCTGCCGCATGAGGAAAATCGCTCGCGGATCGAGAACTTGAGAGTCTTGGTCTCGTGCTGTTGTTCCTTAGCACTCGCTCGGGGCAGCACCTGCGTACGGCAGGCATCATCAAGTCCCGGCGGGTAGAGAGAATTCGACATGGAGCGTGATCGTCTCATTCTATTGGCAGAAAGTGTTAAGACTTCAGTTCATAGACGGCCCACAGCAAATGCCAGCCGATAGCGAGCACTGGTAATGAGTGCCGATGGATATTCGCCACAAGTATACTGGATCAGAACGCCGACGACTCGAGGTAAACAACGTCAAAAAGCTTGTCATGCTGATAGTTACCGCAGCAGAGACGGATATTGCGTGCTAGGATCCGGACACATTGTGCTGTTTGTGCGTCGGTAGGGCGGGTCCGCTACACGGGCGGGTACGGCCAGCACAGATCGGAACCTATACAGGTGAAAAATCACTGCGGCGGAATTGGGACATTCGCGTTCAGCACATGGATACGTGGATCCGTTTGAACCTCATGGTAGGAGCAGTAGCGTGAGGAGCCCGCGTCGTACTACAGTACAAGGGGACATTCGCCTGGGGCGGGCTCGTTCGAGGTCATGACGGTTGCGGCTGAGTCACCGTGCGAACGATCCACTGAACAGCGATGATCGGGCCGGTTCTTCCGAGTGACTGTTGCTTCCTATGTTTGCATCCCAGCGTGCAGACAGAGAGCGATAGGCCCAAGCCACTCGCACTCTGAGAATGAGTTACTCCTCTTCCCTTGCGTGTGTTCTGCTTCAAGGCACTGGGTGGCGAAGATGGCTGAAGATCGTCGCGAGCGTGTCGACGCGTGCACGTGTCGACGCGCCTTGGAGTTCAAGTTAATTCTTACCACCACGGTCAGAGCACTCAGATCGTCCCAACCCACACTCAGATGTGTCCGGCTCCTCCCTTCACCCATGCGCGAACAACAAGAGCCCAATTCTAGTCGCGGAAGTGTTCGTGAAGAGTACGCCTCCAAGAACTACTACTGCATGACTACCGATTTAACAGAGTGGGGGAGATTGGATGTAGCCAACTTTCCGTTACTGCCAGGATGTGGTCAGAGTCTGAGAACCTAAGGCTGGCGTCGTACTGATACGGTTGTTACCGCTCTCCCAGACGATCTACACGATGTCAACGACGCGTCGAGTAGGCCCCGATTATATACTCACGCTCCCGTCCGTCTCCTTACGGATGAATTTATACTCGATATTTGTACTGGCAGGCAGGGTGACAGCCGCTGCCCATACCGGGTAGCTCGCTGCTGAAAGCGCGATCTGAAGAGTGCATCAGTCTATGCAGCGCGCGTGCGATGGAGGTAGAAATTGTGTCACAGCGTTCGCGGTATCCCAGGCTTTGAGCTCGACGGTGCTTCCGACTAGAAAGATGTTCTGAACTCGAAGGTCAGAGAAGCAACGCAAGCACGCTGATTATCGCTCGCCTCGCCGAATGTTGTCATCGCAGTCTCAGCAAAGTTGACTGTCACAGTTGCCGGGCTACTAGCACCCGTCCCGGCGCCCTTTGAACCGATATGCAGCGCAACCGCATCGCGCGCCGCGACGGTGACAGTAAAGGTCCCCGCAGCAGTCACAGTATATGAAGGCCCTGAGCAAACGTTGGCAGCAGATTGGCTTCCATGAATGACATCGCAGTACGAGCCCGCAGGCAAGCTTGTCGTGAACGTCGCAGTCCAAGCCGAGTCAGCGTTGTTGATCGCGACAAAGCCAAGCGCCCCACGTCCGAACGCGATCTGAGACGATTGCGGGGAGACCCAGTTCGTGAGGGCAGCTGAGCCGACGTTGTTGCGGAACCCAACCATACCTGCGACAGGGAGCCAGCGGTGTTGACAGTACCAGCCGTTTGTGCCGTCGTTTCCTGAGCACGTACCGGCACCTATGATCTCATCAGTATCGATCGTTCGCTAGAGCAAAGTAAGCGCATGCCGTTGTTCGGCGAGCCCTGTTCAGTGTTGCTGAAGCCTTCGTAGCTGGAGAGGATAGTCGGGGTGCCGTACGGGTGGGCGAGGGAGAATACCATGGCGAGTGTGTAAGTGTTCGAAGGAGACAGTGCCGTGAGTGACGCGCCACTTGTCCGTTCTGTGTCATGGTTGGCTACGAAGGCGTTTGCGCTCGAGCTGGGAACCCAGCCCTGATTGTCGAGATCTTGGAGGTTCGAGATGCCTCCGCCGCTGAATGCAGAGAGAAGCGCGCTGGTGTAGCGAAACTCTTGTACGTCGCCTGAGGAGAGTTTGAGTATCGAGTGTGGTCCTTAAGTAGAGGACTTGCTCACCGTTACCAGTGTACAAAGCAGGAGTTACAGGCTCCCCTTCGCCCCAATGGACCTCCTGGGTAACGTAGTAGTCCTGGGTGTTGAGCAAGTCGAGGATTGCGCGGATGTTAGCGGGGTCGATATTCATTGCCGCGTCGAGGCGGAAGCCTTTGACGCCCAAGCTGAGAAGATGGTTGGCGTATGCGGCTTGAGTCTGCTGCACATAGGCGGTGTCTGTAGCAAGACTACTCAAGATGAGAGGTGGTCACTCGTGAATGTTAGCGCACGCTTACTCGGAGAGAGCTTCGAGTTCGCACGTCCAGACTTCTTGCTCGTTGTCCCAGTCGACAATCTGGTCGCCAGGCTCAAGCCCGCAATGGTGGAAGTCCTGCATAGATACTCATGAGCCACCAAATCCCCATGAGTTGTATGCAATATTACGTTGGTGCTATAGATGCCGGGGTAGTCGTACTTAGTGAAGGCTGTGAAAAATTAACGAGCCGTACGGCATGTTCAGGGAGATCGGACCCACAGCTCCCAGCAACACCCGTACCCGAAGCCGCACCGCTCATGTGGTTGAAGATTGTGTCCGCAAGGATGCCAACGCCTGCTGTTGCACACGTATCGATCATATTCTTGTACTGTGCCTCATTCCCACGCTTTGACGTTAATGTGTAGGACACGGGCTGATAATCGGTGTACCACTGAGAGCCTACGGAGGCATTAGAGTTTATTCCACGGCTCCGAATGCCCTCAGCTTACCAGTGACATGCTCTTGAGCTGGGCTAGCTGCAGCGCCAATCAGTATGTGGACCAAGCGGCGTGATTGAAGAATGACTGTACTTTGTACGAAGCCGTAACCGGCGGGCCCAAGGAAGTTCGTACACTCAGTGGCAATACTGTCCCATGTCCATTCAAACATTTGCGCAATGACAGCTTCATAACGAATGTCAGAAGGTGCTGCTGTGGATCAGCGATACTGATGTACGCTTGGAACCGGGTAACCGAGCGGTCAGCGGCGACGCCGACACCCCGAGGAGGAGCGCGGACGCCGGCAGTGCAAAGGAACGTAGAAGCATGTTTGACGGATAGACAAACACCACGGCGAGTCGAGATGCCTTTCAGGCCTGGCGCCTTTATACCCGGCGGCGGAGAAGCACTACACTTGGCCGAGCAAAGTCGGGCTATTCGTAGTGGAGAACGAACTTGTTGCCCCATGAACTGTCAGCTCGACCCAGTATGCTCGCGTCAGATGATTTGTTGAGCATGCGGTTCGTGACACAGGAGGCATCAGCGCGAAGTCGTGGGCGGGGAATGCTTTGGAAAGCCCAGGGAAAGTTCAAGTTTCCCGGGGCTTTTCGCGGCACGGGAAAGGCGAGGAGAATCAATTGTTCTCCTGTCGGTGACACACACTGATGACAAGAGATTCTCCTCGCCGTTTCCTGGCCAGCAGGATGTGCCAGGAGAATCAAAAGTTTCCTGGAGAGGGAAACCAGTTGAACAAAGGGAATGCCTTTGTTCTGCCCTCAGGAGAACTTTTGATTCTCCTCGCATCTTCCTCGCCACGAAACGACATGGGGAACGTGTCATTCTGGTCGTGTCACCGGTTCCGACGGAACAAAATGTTCTCCTTGCCTTTCACGGTACGCGAAACGCCCAGGGAAACCTGAACATTCCCTGGGCTTTCCGACTCATTCTCCTCTCCAGAAAACACGCTGATGCCTCCTGTGTGAAAGTTGTGCGAAGCGCCTATCAAGATGACGTTGTGAGCAGCCGCTACACGAAGAACGTGCTCCATCGGTCAGTCACCGCATGATCATAAGCCGCTTTCAAGAAGTCATGCATGCAGATTCGTTCAATCCCGGTAAGGGTACCCGTCGGCGGTTTGTGGTCGTGGTCGTGTCCCAAGATGCAAATGGTCCGCGACGCGTCGGCAACGCCGGCGTTGACCGGACCGATCGCACTTACTTTGTTCCATATACTACGAGTACCTCAGGTTGTATATGATAGCATGGTAGGGTTTAGATTATATCCTATTGACAGAAAAGCACAAGAAACCGTCCGATTCATCAATGTAGAGTCCAGTATCATAGCGACGTATCCGGTATGGTGTCCGGTATAAATAGGCGTAACGTGTGCGAAAGCAGGTATGCAAAGTCCGTGTGAGATGTGCGTAGCAAGATAATGAGGTGGCGTTAAGATGGTCGAGGAGCGATAGAGGTGAAGTTGGGTTTACGAGCGCCTGAAGCAGCGGAAGAGGTTCCTCTTGAAGAAGTAGAACAAGCACTGAAAAGACATCAGCAGAGGTTTCATGCACCGTGCACAGATGTGACTCACTCCAATGAACCGTACGGCAGAGAGGCCGAACGTCGAGTAAAGGATGAAGGCGAAGTATATGCTTTACGGAGAACGGTCAGTGTGAGCCTCATGAGTGCTATCGTTTGTTAAACGCACGATTGCTTCTCGTGAATGTCGGTCTGCTGCTCTAGCAGAGCATCGTCCATACACTTGTCAAACACATCTGTGGACTTGGTCGGGTCGCAGCTCTTGATCAACGCGTTGATATTGTCGCTTGTGAGCATTTGCGGAAGACCGTCGATGTAAGCAATCCCAATAGACAATGCCGCATTCGTGAACTGGGCCCATAGTCAGCATGGTATGGTTGACGGATACTGGACTGACGTACCATCCAGAACGCAACCAATCGGGTACGGAACGTCTTATTTTGGTCGTCCAGTGTCGGCTTCTCGGGTGCCTCCGTAGTATCGAGCTTGGTCAGAGCGCGTGTAACGGTCTCCTTGAAGACAGCGTCGAGATCCTCCTGCATCCGCGCCATATCTTCGACGACCTTTTCGCCCTCTTTGCCCTTGGTCGCCTTCACGGATGGCAGTGCGTCGGCCTTGTCGCTACCCTTCGTACCCCAAGATACATCATGCAAGTTACAGAACGCGTAGACGTTGAGGATCTATGAGATAGTCAGGACTGCTCTGTCATCGTAACGGACAGGATACGCACATTGGTGAACGACGGGGCTAGGAGCAGGTACTGGAGGAAACTGCTGAACATGTGCCAGGGGTCGCGCTGACAGAACCGTCAGAACCGGACACGGGAAGAGCAGCGAGTATCACGTACGTAGAGGAACGACGCAAAGAAGTAGATACCGAAGGTAGATATCAAGGCGACGACCAATGAACCGACAGGTGGCTTCAAGAAGAACAGGATCTTCGATCCCACACTCTGGTCGGATAGTTTGCTGAGCTCAGACGGAATGTTCTTGATGGCCTGGCCTGTGAGGGCAAACGAGCACACGATAAGGTACAGCGACAAGACGGCGTAGAGCCTATCAGGACGGTCAGAAGTATGATGCCAGAACATGACAGGACCACGCACGCGAAAGTGACCGTGTACGCCATCTTCTCTCCTTTCGGCCGGTTACCAAGAGCAAGCACAAACTGAAGGGCAAGCAGTGACAACCACAGCCACTTGAAGGCTTGATTGACCCATAACGTCTGCGAGCGGTCAATACGACGTCTGGTAACAGACAGACACTGCTTACAGCACCCTGAGTTCCAAAGATTTCGATGCCTTGCGTAGTCGTAAGGTCGATGACGATACTGAACGTGAGCCAAAGGTTTGCAGGGGCGAACCAAGAGAAGAAGAGCGAAAAGACGTTGTACTAGGGTTGATGTTAGTTGCGCTCGATGAAGGATAAAGATAGCTCGACGTACCAAGGCCTGAATGTGCAGGAAGAACATGCGGATGATGCCGTGCCCGGAGTGATATACCTGGAAGAAGTTGTACACCGCGTACTACATCGCGTTAGCTACGTACTCAAAACACACGCGCGCGACACTCACGATGGAAGCGGCGAATGAGCCGTTGAGCCAACGACGGCGCTGGCCGATAAGCTCTGCAGCAGACTCCGGCACGTCCGTCTCAGCCTTAGACGGCTTGACGTACGTGAGCGTCCACCTGTTCTTCGCCTTGGCCACGAGCTCGAAGCACAGGATACGGTCCTCTGCCAAGAACATGTTCTTGGTAAAGATGCCCATACCGTTGATACCCTTCGGCCCCAGACGATCCGCCAGCGAGTGATCGCCGTGGAAGTACTGCTCGAGCGGCCGACCCTGAATAGCGCGGTAGCGGTAGGCGGAGAAGGCTCCGGGAAGCACGGACACGTATCCGAAAGACGACTCGAGCGGCTTATCGAGGATATTCGACATCTTGTACTCGAAGTTCTGTGCCGCGACCAATGGGTTGATCAACTTCTTGCCTCCTTGAATCATTGCATGGATCTCTCCACAGCAGCCACCGAGGTTGGGGTCGTTGTAGAACGCTAGATCTTAGTCAGGATCGAACGAGTGATAGTATATGATGACTGATGCACCTTCCCAAAGGTAGTAGATCGACTTGTGGCCCGGCTTGGTACCTGCATCAATGAGAACACAGATCTCGGGCTGTGACACGCCGGCCCCGCGTAAGCGCTCATGCTCCGGAGCAATCAAGATGAATGCATACCTCAAGCATCTTTCCGATAGCATTGAACAACCAACGATGCGAGTTGATCTTCTTTTGGTTCTTCGCTACAACGAAGTTCAGCGCTCGCAGATGAAGGGATGGAGGCGGAACACCCGCCTTTGATGACGAAGATGATCTGCACTGGAACGAGGTTGTTGGGATCTTCGCCTTGCGGCAGGATGAGCTCCGGCTTCGCGCTCACCGAGAGCTGGGTGGTGTACTGTACGCGTAGCGATCAGCAATTGCGACACGTACGCGCCGCAAAGTACACTCACCTCAAAGATATGGGCGACGGTGTCCTTTCCATCTACTTGCTTCTTCATGACACCATCCTGATACACGCCCACGGTTGCCAGGAGATCGAGTACTGTCTTGTCCATCGGTTCCAACCCATCGACGATCAGCGCGACGGTGATCCTCTGCCATGGTGGAACACCCTCCTCCGCGCTCCTACGCCAATACTTGCTCTGCTTGGTCTTACAAATGTCGCGAATGTTGATCATCACGCCATGCAGCGTGCGCGCGTACAGCGTCTTGTCCTCGTTATACGAGGTGACCGCGATGAGGAGCTCTGTCTGCCTGTTGTACATCTTTGTCCGCAAAGACCAGCCGCCGGCCTCATGGAAGTCATCCGGGTCAACCGTTGCAGCCGTGTAACGCATGTGGCTGCGCGTACATCTCCTTTCAGACATCCCATCAAATGTACAACGGTAGAAGGCACGTACGAGAACTCATTATTTTTGCTGTCCGCCGTATATTTGCTTTCGATGGCGGAATACACGGGAGTCGGGACCGGATATTCCGTGATGAAGTTGCCGTTCACGAGCTTGACCTTCTTCGTTACGCCGCGCTTGATCGTCTGCCGCCGGCGCCACGCCGTTTCTGCACCCGTGGAGTGCGACGACGCGGTCGAGTATGGCCGATTGGGCATACCGGGGCGCATGGGCGGCATGCCAAAATCGTCTGGATTGATCGCGCTGTGGAGATGTAGATTGTTAGGGTTGTACAGGAAACGCGGGGAAGCGATGAAAGACTGCGCACGCTGGCGGGTAGAAGCCTCCGGTGAAGACCTCGCCCTTCGCGAGAGGCTCCTTCTCTAGCTCATCATCGTCGTCCTCCCGGGTCGGTGCGCCGTAGTAGGACGAGTCGTCATCGGCAGCCCCGGGGTCCGTCAGCGAGTACGCGCTGCGACGTGGCTCTTCGAAGTGTAGGTGGCTGGTATTCTTGTGTCCATTAGTAAAGGGATCCGCGGCGAGGTTGTCAGTGCTCGCTCCAGGCTCAGGCATATGGGCCATGACGGTGATGAGCGGGCGATGAACAGGGAAGAAGGAGGTGTGAAGGGCAGAAAGGCGATCGCGATGGCAGGAATCAACGGCGCTGCTATATACAGCCCTGTGCGCGGCACAGGGCAGCTCGCATCACCGGTACCAAACACTCGGCTCAGACTCGTGTTGAGGCGTGTCCATTGAATCAATAATTGAGCACCTTCCTGTGGCGGTGCCACTGTTGCATGCTGTATCCCGCCGGCTAAGCCTCGCGCTTGGCCTTCTTTCCACTGCCAGAGTACTGAGAAAGAACACACGGCCACGATTTTTCTGTCAGACATGCGGCAAGAGAAGACATCCTGGCTTCGGCTGAAGCGCTGAGAACGGGAACGCGCGCGGGATGCTGTGCTGTTCGGTTCGCACACGGGCGGTGGGCCACTTTAGGGGTCTGACACGAGAAAGGAACACAACAGTAACGAGGCGCTGCCCGTGTTCATGCGATTGGACGCGCCCGTACAGGATATACGCTCATTCGTAAGCTCATGAAGGTTGCCGAGTTCAAGACGTAGTCGGTGGTAAGAATCAAAGTGCAATTGAGCGAGCAACATGCGAGCAAACCGTTGTCAAGTTGTCAACTTGAACAATTGATAGAAGCTGTCACGGGCTCGGCGTTCGCCGCCCACTGCGGTTGGACTGCGGAAGCGACGAACTCGACCTGTTACTACCCACGACGGCGAATCCAAGACTCGGGTACCAATACCGACACAGCGTACTGCATAAATACAATGTCTATGGAGGGTATGACAATATTTCAAAGTTATCAGAACATCGATCGTCGGAACATCCGCTGAGCCACTACTGTATCGCAAAGTTGTCTCGCTGTTTCCGACGCACTGTACCGCAGCGGGATCACCAATCGCGGCGCAAGCGGCCATAGCTGTCACGGTACAGTCTACGGGATCCCAAGAGAGGTGGCCCGTACGCAGGTCCTGCAAGTACAGCGGGTGGCGGACCGTAGGCCGCCGGGGGTGGCGGCGGCGTATAGCCCTGTCCGTACTGCATAGCGGGAGCTCCAAGGGTTTGTACCCCGTTGCCGCTCGCATACCCATAGAAGACCTCGCTATAAGCGGTCGATCGGGTCATCAGCTTGTGCATGCCGCTATCAGATAACCCAAGCACTCACGCGGGCCCACTTTGCGCGCGCGCGTACTCAAAGCCTGTCCCGCCAGAGTAACGTTGCTCGGCGAGCATATGCGCCTGTTCTTCGGCCATCTTTCTCGCCCTGTGCCGGTCTAAGTAGCTCAGACCTTTGGTTTCGATGAGCTTGTCGACTTCGGCGGCTGCGGCTGCCGTGAGAATTTCCTTCATGATTGGGTGTGACACGGGCTGGCCGGTCGCGCGCAGGTGCGATTCGTAGCTATTTGACGAAATGCGATGTCAGTCACTGCTCGTAGAGCCAGGTACGGGTCAAAGTAGGCTTACGCATGCATGGCCGCGAAGCCCGCTGCACCGGCAATAGCCTCGTGCGTCAAAGAGCCGGTGTGATTGGGCGGAGGCGGTGCGTTGTAATAGACGTGCTGGTGGTAATGCTGAGCCTCTTCATGGGGCGTGGTGGCAGCATTGACGGCGGAAGCTACTGCAAGGCGCAAAAGGAGGCCCATTGATGTTAAAACCGAGAGGAACCGAAGGTAGTTGGGGACGGGGTTGATACACGTACAAGGTCCCGCGAAGGCAGTTTAAGTACCTAAAGACCATTCATCGCGCTTCTGTTGGGTTGGATGGGTTGTAAGGCGTCAGGTACGGTATCACCAGTGTTTCGACATGCAATGAATAGGGTAGTCAGGCATAGCGCAGGTCCTTTCGGGGATATCTTCAACGATAGTTCAGGATGAAAAGAAGGCTGTAGAGCGTCATACACGGCGGGAGATTAGCGTCTCCAGGGAGTACGGTCCACGGACCATCGTACAAGAATACATCGGCATCCGCTGAGCAATTGTTTCGGCTTGTTAGTCCCGTCTGTGAAGGTCACGTACGAGAGACAGCGGCTCCTTACCGCAGGGATATGACTGGCGAGCAAGGACCGCTTCGGAGACAGCGGACGGACACAACTCCGCCCGATAGAGCGTTTTTACGGCCATGCACTCCGAGAAGCACATATCGCTAATCAGTCCCGGTCTGGTGAAACACAAAATGGTATGACGAATAAGAGTCGACAGAGTCGAGATAGTCTGAAGTAGGCTTATACTCCATCTTACGACTTAAGCTTAAAGTGACACCACCGCCCATGCACTTCGCAACTACCAATGTCCCTGACCATATACTGATGGCGGAGGGTAATCCTGGCCGTATTGCGCGCCACTACCACCATACCCATAAAACGCTTGACTATAATCAAACAAAGTGTCAGTCGCTGTACCACACATACATCATATCATTGTGACTTACGCCGGTCCATTCTGCGCGTGCGCATACTGGAAACCGGTTCCTCCGGCGTAGCGCAGCTCAGCAAGCATACACGCTTGCTCCTCGGCCATCTTCTTTGCCCTGCGGCGGTCGAGATACGGGGAGGCCCTTAGTCCCGACGAGCTTCTCCACCTCTGCCGCAGCTGCCGCGGCGAGAATCTCCTTCATGACAGGATGAGACACGGGCTGACCAGTTGCGCGGAGGTGCGACTCGTACCTACATGGGTAAGAGAAAGGAGTTAGGAAGTGTACAGCAAAACCTCAGGTGAACACGAAATGCACTCACGCATCCATAGCCGCGAAACCCGCCGCGCCCGCGAGTGCCTCATGTGTGAGCGAGCCGTCGTGGCTGGGAGTATGATGCGGCGGAGGGGGCGCATTGTAGTAGACGTGCTCGTGGTAGTGCCGAGCCTCTTCGTGAGGGGTCATGGTAGA